AGAGGCTCGCCTGCCTCTGCTGGTCTGAAACGGGGGGGATGAGCCTGACCTGAGGTGTGGCGGTGAGAGACGGGCAAGGCCCAACATTTCCTGACGGAGCCTGTGGGATCTGCGTTGTTCCCTTGTTTATATCGTCTCGGTTAAACGAGGGGCAGAAAACGTGTCACGTCACCAGCCGGGTCAGATGCACATTACAAACACCAGCCGTTTAAAGGGAACTGTCAGCAAACAAGCCCGGTTTTAGCCCAGTTACTCAGCTGATACGTACTTGGAATATACTTGGTTTGCTCTGGGAGTAGCTGGGCTCACAGTTGTTTACTGGCCAGCAGAAGAGAAGGTATTAATGAATGGATCAGCATGCTCAAATCAACACATTAATTGGTGCTACCATAGGGACAATGAATGGGAGTGTATATACATCAATTATTTTTTGCATATCATAGAACCACAGAATCACAGAACCCCAGGGGTTGGAAGGGACCTCAAAAGCTCACCCAGTCCAACCCCCCTGCCAGAGCAGGGTCACCCAGAGCACATCACACAGGAACGTGTCCAGGTGGGATCTCTCACCCAGAGATGCAGAACTTTTCCAAGGAGGCACTGGTTGTGCTGGCAGGGGCTGAGGAGGACAGCAAACTAACTCAGATGCAGAGGGCGACTCTCCAAGGCCACACCAGTGGCAGAGGTGAGAGGACATGTTTCCTGTATGTCATTCAAGTCTCTGCCAGTGTGTTGGTTCAGAATTAACAAGGATAGGAAAACACATCACTGGTGTTTTGCTGGCACTCTGCTTCTGCAGGATGGCTAAAATGGAAAAAAATTCCAGGCTATAGCAAAGAGTCAGCTTGAATTCTGAGGAAATCTAGTGCTACAGTTAGTTCCCTACCAGTCCATGGGGCCTGATGGGATTCATCCGAGAATCCTCAGAGAGCTGGCTGGTGTCATTGCCAGGCCTCTTGTGATGGTTTTTGGGAGGTCCTGGGCATCTGGAAAGATCCCAGTTGACTGGAAACTGGCTAATGTTGTCCCAGTATTCAAGAAGGGCAAAAGGAGGACCCTGGAAGCTACAGGCCGGTCAGTCTGACTTCAGTGCCTGATAAAATTATGGAAAAGATTATTCTGGGAAGTATTGAAAAACACCTGGAGGACAACGCAGTCATCAGTCACAGCCAGCACAGCTTCACGAGGGGAAAATCTGCTTGTCAAACTCCATTTCTTTTTGTGACAAGGTAACCCAAGTAGTTGATCAAGGGAAGCCAGTGGATGGAATATTTCTGGACTTCAGCAAAGCTTTGGATACTGTCTCACAGTGTCCTCCTGGACAAAACGCCCAGCACACAGTGTGTACCATATGATGGGTGAACAACTGGCTCACAGGTTGAACACAAAGAGTGAGAGTGAATGGGGTAACATCAGGCTGGTGACTGATCACTAGTGGGGTCCTGCAGGGCTCCATCCTAGGCCCAGTCCTCTTCAACATCTCCATCAATGACTTGGACTCAGGACTCGAAGGAATTCTAAGTAAGTTTGCTGATGATGCAAAGCTGGGAGGAGCTTTCGACTCCATTGAGGGCAGGCAGGCCCTGCAGAGAGACCTTGACAAGTTGGAGAGATGGGCAGTCACCAACCACAGGAAGTTTAACAAGGGCAAGTGCTGGATTCTGCACCTGGAACGGGGCAACCCAGCTGGTAAGTACAGACTGGGGAACGAGTGGCTGGAGAGCAGCATGGCAGAGAGGGGCCTGGGGGTCCTGGTTGATGGCAAACTGAGTGTGAGCCAGCAGGGTGCCCTGGCAGCCAGGAGGGACAACTGTGTCCTGGGGTGCATCAAGGAGAGCATTGCCAGCTGGTCAAGAGAGGTGATTGTCCTGCTCTGTTCTGTGCTGGTGCAGCCTCACCTGGAGTACTGTGTGCAATTCTGGGCACCACGATATAAAAAGGACATCAAGCTATTGGAGAGTGTCCAAAGGAGAGCCATGAAGATGGTGAAGGGTCTGGATGGGATGTCTTATGAAGAGTGGGTAAAGACACTTGGGTTATTCAGCTTGGAGAAGAGGAGGCTGAGGGGTGACCTCATGAGAGGAAGAGATGGGGCAGGTGCTGATCTCTTCACTCCTGTGGGCAATGACAGGACTCAGGGAACTGGCAGGAAGCTGGGAGGTTTAAGTTTGATATCAGGAGAAGCTTTTTCACCCAGAGGGTGGTTGAGCACTGGAACAAGCTTCCCAGGGAAGTGGTCACAGCACCAAGCCTGCCTTGAGTTCCAGAAGCATTAGGATGATGCTCTCAGGCACATTGTGTAATTCTAGGGGTGCCCTACATAGGGACAGATGGGAGTTGGACTCGATGATCCTGAGGGGTCCCTTCCAACTCAGCACATTCTATGATTCTATGAAATTGAAGAGCAAACTTGATGCTCCTTAGTGATAACATCAGGATCAGGGGAACATAAAGTTCTCATAGAAATCTTTTAGGCTGCTTCAAGAAACTCATAGCTTTATCCCTATATACTGATCTGTACCTTGAGTTGCCCGCAGGGTGGGACTCAGCTGGGACGAGGGGTAAGAAAGGCCTGTTACAAACCCCCACAGGAAAACCAGTGTGTTAGCTTGTGCCTCTGTCTTGCAGAGAGCTGTTTCATATACTGGCCATCTCCCACCTTGATAGCACACTGCTTCTTGAACTTAGAGGCCTTTTTGTAATGCTCCCTCACCAAGCCCTGGCGCACTGTGATCTCTCATCTTGCACATATGTAGGAGAGATACAGAGGAAATACATTTACTTAGTTGCAGATATGCTCAGGTGCAAGTAGGTAGGCATGGAATAGAAACCTTACCTACACTTACAATGTAGGCATGTTACAGCTGAGCCTGTCACTTCAAACTGCCTCTGTGGTCAGTGGTCATAAACAGGCAAGTTGGGGTGGGATTTGTCTCAACTGCATCATGACATCCACTTTTGGATGGCTGAAGTGTGCCCCCAAGAACTCTGGCAGGTGCTTTAGTGTCCAAGCTTTTACTACTCGGTATGGTGTGCTCCTGCACAGCTCAACAGTCACCTTCAAGAAGTGCACACCCAAATCTCTAAAGGATAGAGCAGCCCACTGTGGGAATGGCATGGACTGGTCTGTCCAAGCCTTCTCTAGTTCACATACATAAGGTTCATACAGGAAGCATCATCGTTTCTCTCTGTCCTAGGACACGTGAACTTCTCCCCATGGTTGCAGGTAGTGTCAAGAGGATGTCAGAAAGATGAGTCAGAAGATGAGTCAGATAGAAGACATAATTTTTGTGCAGTGCCATAGTGACTAGCCTAGACTGAAGGAATCCCGGGGGTTAGACCTGAAGAAAATTCTGGCTTAATGGCATTGTGCCTTTCTATAATATCTGCTTGGCTTCCTTGCTTCCCGACTACCTGCAACATAGCAGTTGCTAAAGTGTATTGAAGGACTGCAGTGCCTCTCCCTCAAGGACAAAAGAGAGGAAATTTTCTAGCCTGTTTCACCCAAGCCACCAACACATTCTTGCAATTTTCATAGAGTGATCTCACAGTTCTGTTGTCGTGACATGGTCTGTGACAGCACTGCTAGGTGACTTTCCTCTTCTAACAAATCCCACATGAGGATCCCAGATCTCCTTACTGAACTCTTTCTGCCTTGATGATGCAGCCCTGGATGTGCAGCCACAAGCCTTGCTCCTCCCACTTCCAAGCTTCCTCCCCATCAGGCACTGAATTCCCAGCCCTTTCCTCCAACTCAGTAATAACAGTAACATCACGGGTACAACTGCAGGCAGGAAGATGATACATGCAAAAGCAGTGACAAACAGCTAATCATCTGACTTAGAGTTCTTATTAAAATGTCAACCCATGGGCATGTGGCAACCTCACCTTCTGGGTCCATGTGCCAGAGGGAGGAACTGGAAATGGGGTTGGCTACGCTGAACTGAGAGCACAAAGTGGTCCACAAGGTGGCAAAACAATGTACCTTTAGCATGTTGCTGTCTCTGCAGCTCATGTAGGCAGAGGTTCACTCTAAAAGGGATTCCCCAAGTGCTGTCAATTCTGTAGCCATAGAAGCAGCAGATAAAAATTACACAGAACCTGGGGGCCGGGTTTGCAGCCTGTGCTGTGTCACACACCACTCCGGGGTCACTGCAGTGCAATAATGTGAAGTGAAGCTAGCCTGTGTGTATCTACACAAGTGACTAAAAGTCTGTGAATTAAGGATAAAAATATCTGTTGTTCGCCCTGTGTTTCTGGGAGATCTCATCCAGGTGGATGTCTCTTGAGAACCCCCTGGGAGCCACTGTTCAGCTACCAACGACTCTGGATTCTCTTGGATACTACTTTAATTAATACCTGTCCTTAAGGATTATTCCCCTTGTGCCTCCATGGGCTGACTTTTTTTTTTGTTTGTTTGATTGGTTGTTTTTGTTTTGTTTTTAGTCTTTCGTTGGTTTCTATGTATGAAAGCCTCTCTTTTCAGAAAATTTCTACTTTGTAGACTGACTGGTGATTAAACCACAGAGGATGTACCCGAAGTAACTTGTGATTCTGCTGTGTTTGGTGCTGATCCATGGTACAGTCCTTTCCTGGTGTCTTTCCTGCACCACTCATGACCGGTCACCAGTTTCATTTGAAACTGGATCCATGGCAGCCTCAGAGCCAGTTCAAGTCACTGCCAGCAAACAATGGCTAATTGTGGAGATGTTTTCCTTTCCTCTAGGAAATAGCTCTGTATTGTTTATGCAGAATTGCTGTCTCACTGCTCTATTTTTTACGGCTTCTTTTTTATTAAAAAAGCTGCTTATTCCTTCTGAACTGATTGCATGGCCCAGCCCCAGCTCAAGTTGCTCAAATGCATACAAGTGATGTTATGAGGAGATTAAAGAAAACACCTTGTGTGGTGAATAGCAGCAATGAAGGACAAAACCCTATTTGTGAAGGACTCAAGTCTGAGACCTCTTCATTCCAAGCAAGGGTTTGGAGTAGCCTGTTGGGGATGGGTATTACTGTCACTTACAGTTCTGTAAAAACAAAGGAGGAACACAGCAGCGTTTCTGAAAACCAGTCTTTCTCAAGTACCACATGTTCTAGGTAAGTGTGGTGTGGACTATTCCTTTGTAGCACCTGATGTTGGTGTACTGTTGTTCCCCTCATGTGATTCCAGCCCAAATTACTCCACATCCAGGCCAAAAGTAGCCAGTGGAGACTGGCTGCTCTTTCTCCTGCAAGATCACCTGTCTTATACCTTCTTGTGTCCCACCCTTTTCACAGTGTTTGGTCAAGAGTGGAGTGAACAATCAGGCTGAAGGGTCAATATCTTCAGTACTTTGTGCATCATTTTTCCTATCCACAGATGGAGAAGTAATGCTTGGCAACATAGTTAAAGCCTGTAAGATGCAGTTGCTCTCTGGGCTCCAGCACACACTGGTGGCTCATGTGGCGCTTCACATCCACTACCACCCCCAAGTCCTTCTCCTCAGGACTGCTCACAATCCATTCTCTCCCCAGCCTGTATTTGTGCCTGGGGTTGCACTGACCCAGGTGCAGGACCCTGCACTTGGCCTTGTTGAACTTCATGAGGTTGGCACTGGCCCAGCTCTCCAGCCTGTCAAGGTCCCTCTGGACTCCCTTCCCTCTAGGGTGTCAGCCACACCACACAGCTTGGTGCCATCAGCAAACTTGCTCAGGATACAATCAATCCCACTGTCCATGTACAGAACAAAGATGTTAAACAGCACTGGTCCCAAAACTGACCCCTGAGGGACACCACTCGTCACCTGCCTCCATTTGGACACTGAGCCATTGGCCACAACTCTCTGGGTGAGCCATCCAGCCAATATCTTATCCAGTGAGTCAAATCCATGCTTTGTCAGTTTGGAGACCAGGATGTCATGTGGGACAGTGTGAAAGGCCTTGCACAAACCCAGGTAGATGACGTCAGTTGCTCTGCCACCATCCCCCATCTCTGTAGCCTTGTTCCAGAAGGCCACCAGATTGGTCAGGCACGACTTGCCCTTAGTGAAGCCATGTTGGCTGTCACCAGTCACCTATTTATTTTCCATGTACCTTAGCAGACTTTCCAGGAGGATCTGCTCCATGATCTTCCTGGGCACAGAGGTGAGACTGACCGGCCTGTACTTGCCTGGGTCTTCCTTTTTCCCCTTTTTAAAAATAGGGGCCATGTTCCCTTTTTTCCAATCAGCAGAAACCTCACCAGACTGCCATGACCTCTCAAACATGATGGACAGAGGCTCAGAAATTTCATCCACCAGCTCCCTCAGGACCTGTGGGTGAATCCCATCAGGTCCCATAGATTTATGCACCTTCAGGTACATGTATATATAATACATGTTTTATTTTCAATCTGAAAGCATAAAATATTTCAAAGTACTTATTGGTTTTTATAATACAACATGCAAAGGGTGTTCTATGGCCAGACTCAACAATAAAATGGAAACACCAACACGGAGTAAATAACTAACTGAATGGCTACAAATTGCAGAACCAAGAAGCAGTTTAGTTCTGTAAGCTTGCTATATTTTTATGGGATGTGATCCTGCTTTTCCACAAAGTACATATGATCCTTATTGACTGTGTCCTTATTTTTGGATTGTTCATGAGAAGAGAATGTCTTTGAATCATAATAGATCAGAGAGTTAGACTGACATGTCTCCAGTCACTGACACCTGATCATTGCTTTCATACACATCCTTGTATAGCTAGATCGTGTCTGTAGATCTGCTTGTGCTTTTTTTTGTTTGTTTGTTTTAATCTGGTGTTTTCTCATGTCTTATGGGCTCTGTATGGCTGATCCCTTGCAAGAGTTATAAATATTTTCTCTGAAATTCCTCACCTGAAGTCAGTTTAGTAGCAAATAGTCCCTGAGCAAGTGAAGTTATAGCTATTATTATTGTACCTTGAAATAACAGAGTCACAGAATAACAGAAGCACAGCATGTTAGGGGTTGGAAGGGACCTCTGAAGATCATCAAGTCCAACCCCTCTGCCAGAACAGGACCAAAAACTAGGGCAGATTGCTCAGAAAGGCATCCAGGACTGGACCCAGCACTGATCCCTGGGGGACTCTGCTAGTTACAGGTTTCCAGCTGGACTTTGCACCATTGATCAACTCTCTTTGGGCTCTATTGTTTAATCAGTTCTTAATCTCTCTCACTGTCCATTCTTCTATCCCACATTTCCTGAGCTTGCTCACAAGGATGTTATGGGAGACTGTCAAAAGCCTTGCTGAGGTCAAGGTAGACACATCCACTGGTCTCACTGCATGGCAAACAGGAGAGGTGCCTGAGGACTGGAGGAAAGCCATTGTCACTCCACTCTTCAAAAAAGGCAAGCAGAAAGAGCCAGGAAATTACAGACCAGTAAACCTCACCTCCATCCCTGGAAAAATGATGGAGTGGCTCATTTTGGAGGTCATCTCTAAGCACATGGAATAGAAGAATGTTGTCAGGAAATGTCTTGCCAGTAAAAAAAACCTTGAGGGTACTTGCTCTGGCTCCTAACAACTAAGAGTGAGACAAGCAAAGAAGGATGTGAGCAGACTTGAAGGGACAGGAGTGTTAAACAACACTGGCTCTGGTCAAGGGAAAAATGCTGAAATCAGAAGGTACTGCCCAGCTCTGGATACTAATGACCTGGAATTTTTCCCTTGAAACTGAGAAAGGAGACAGCAAAGGTGATTTTATGCAGAAGACAGGAAAACTAAGGTTTTTTAATTTCTCTTTTTATTGCACATCTTCGAAAAAAATTACAGTGTAATTGTTATTACAAACTATAAAAAAATGCACATTCTTGTTTTGCTAAGTAGCATTGCTGCCCTATGGAGCACGGCTGCCATCTCCTGTTAAATGCCTGTGCAGCTCAGAGCTCGGAGGCAGGAGGAAAGGGGTGGAGGCAGAGGAGGAACACTATGTTCCCCCGGGAAGTGATTTGAAGCTTTCAGGAAGTTTCTGGGCTTCATAGTGCTTGACGCATGCTCAGCCCTTCCTAATGTCTCTGCTCTAATCAAGCTTTTTCTGTGAAGTAAACAAGAACCTTCCAGGAAATGTTCTGCAGCTTGTTGGCTGACTTAGGCTTGAACTGGACTTTGGAGAGTGGCTGGTGAAATAGGTCACACTAATAGATGTTCCACAAACAGTTGTTATTATTATTTCAAGTGTGCTGTGTAGCAGAAGAGACATAGCCTTGTATGTCACTTATTTATTTATTCACTCACTTCCAGCTTATCACTCATGAACTGTACAGTTAAATAGTGACTAGGCAATTCAGGAAGAAGTTTGTGACCTAGGAAATAAAGACATTCAATAAATTCCTTTAGATACCAAATTCCTTGAGCAGGACCTGGGGCATCATCAAAGGCGTTTTGGTTGTTCAGTTCTGCTTTATGCTGTCCCAGCTTTCTCTGTACTCTCCACAGCAGTTACATTCCTTAACATACGTGGGGACCTGGTCCTTGTTCTTCTTATCCACAAAATCATCATATTTTCTGTATTTTCACAGAAGAGTTGTGAAGATCAGCATATAAAGGACAGTGAGAATTTGGGTACTCCAGTAGAAAGGGCTGTGCAGGCACTTCAGAAAGATGTGATATCTGTGACTTCTGCATTCATAGAAACATTAACATATCCATGCAATTAATTCATGACTGCCTATGATCTGATGTGGAATGTCCTTTTGCTTTAATGTTTTAAGTTGCTGAACCTGGATTAGGGAAAATACTGATGTAATTCAACAGCCACCTTCTCAGAAGTGCCTGGTCCAAGAAAACATTTTACAGATGTTCCTCAGCTGTGTTCATCCAAGTAATTTGATTAATATTTCTAGATGATTAAACATATTTGTATTGATCAGGAGAGACTCACAAATTATTTTTATTTGAGAAATGTCTCTAGAGATTTCAAATGGTCTAACTTAATTTGACCTGCATTTTGACAGCAACATTAGGAATAATGAATAAATTATACATTATGAATGCAAGAAAAATATAATTGAACTTTAGGGGTAGTGTTCCTGCTCCTCTCCTTGTTTGATCTGTTACAGCCCATGTATTTTAAAAATAAAAATGTAAGATATTGTGACTACTGTTTCAGAAGTGCTATATATCATATTCAGAACCACTGCATTCATTGTATTCATTCTATATATCCTGTAGGACATTTAGGGGACTATACTGCACACACTACAAATGCATGCTGTCTTTTGTTTGCATGAAGATTGTGTTCCTACACAGCTGATTTTTTTAATTATTATTTTTTATTTACTATAAATGGTTGGCACTTTCCAGAAGTTTGGTGTTATTATTTGGTATTAAGGCCTCAAATGGCCTTTTTCCCCCCTCTGGTGAAAACGTCTCTGCCATACCTGGGAAGCAGGCTGGAGGCAAGTGAAACAAGACAGCATGTGCAGTCTCCCTGCAGGTCACTAACCTGCAAAGTTGCTCAGCACCTTGGTCCTCCTGCCTGCTTGCTTGGGCAAAGGGGGACACTAGTGACACGTGTGTGCATGTGCAACAAATGGGGAAGGCCAATTGTCGGTTATCTCAAGGAGCTGTCAAAAGGAGCCATCAAAATATGCTAGATCTGCTTTTTTTCCCTTTTTCTTTAGATGAAGGAGGTTTATCTGATGTTCCAGGCCATGCTCAGAATGATTAATTTCTGCATGTAACTCTTCTGTGTTACCTGTTCAGTCAAAGCAGGCACTAGAGCCTTGGGCGGGCTGGCTGGGCCTCCTTGCCCTCGGCAGGTGCCTGCATGTTTTCCTCTGGCACCGGGTACAAGTCTGGCACTTTCTGCCCTGCCTTGGCCACCGTGAATCTGCTCATGCGCAGGGCTTCTTCGTAGACGGGAGGGGTGTCTGGTGCCGAGAGGGCTGGCGTGCCCTGGGCAGCGCCGTGGGAACGTGCCACCGCGAGCACCCTCCTGGCCGCGGGCCCCAACACCGAGTGCAGAGCTGCAAGGGAGGCCACAAAAGCCGTTTGCCTCATCCTGATAGCACCGTACAATTAGAGAAGGACAAATACACCTGCACCTGTGTTTCATCTCCCCGCAGTCAGAATGTTTTTGTTTTCCTGGTGGTTCATCTTTCCC